ACTTTAACTGAAATCAGAATCTGTTAATTTGACTGCATGTACATCATCAAATTCAGAGCAGTTCATTACAATGATGTGACATGTTGTATGTTTGAAGGCTGTCAGGCTGTCAGATCACAGGAACAGGCTTCACCTCTCTGGCCACAGCTCTGCTTTCCAATCCCTCCTATTTGAAAGAGCTGGACTTGAGCTATAATCATCCAGGAGACTCAGGAATGAAGCTTTTGTCTGCTCTAAAGAAGGATCCGCATGTGAAACTGGTCATACTCTGGTAGGAAAACAGGAAATAAAGCTAAAAAAAATTTTTTTTTCTCCAGCATATTGTAAGGTAACCACTGATCTGATTGCCAGTAATACAGTCTGTATGTCCAGTTAAGTGGGCAGCTGTGTGGGTGAATGACTCAGAACCAATCACAGTTAAAACACGAGGAAGGATACACAGCTTGAAGGAGAATGTAACAAATACATAAGGATTGGACCCTCGATACTGACGTTTCAAGACTGTGTCAATCAAAACACCAACATCACATGACCATGGCTAAGTGAGGTTTGATGTGTTTAACTCCAGATCTGACAGGTGCCTTTGTGATGGTTCTGGGTCTGTGATCCAGTTTATAGTTTCGTTTTTCTGCGTCCTGCTGCGTTCCCTATGTCCTCACTTTATGCTCCTCACAGTCACAGCCTTACCTCCCTGTTTTTAGTCAGCTGAGGCACCAGGATTCCTATTTTCATGAACAAGTCATCTGTGCAGGAACACGTTATTTTTAATTGTGATTGGGAAGAATAATATATGCTCTCAGTTCAATTAAGTAAGTAAGTAAGTAAGTAAGTAAGTAAAATTTTATTTATATAGCACATTTCTAGATGAAAGATCACAAAGTGCTTCACAAGGTATAGAAAAAAAACAGTCAAAAGTTAACAAAACGCAATTTTAAAAAGTACTCAGATTCAAAGTGTAATTAAATAAATATTGACTTAATTGGAATGTTTGCTGTCATAGCCTCCTGAGAATCAAGAAAAAAATCTTCTTCTCATTGAACTTTTTATTGTTTTCTGCATGCAGGACTCAGTAGGTCTATTGAGGCTGGAAATAACCGAAGCTACAAAACAAAAACAATAACAGGAACAACTTGACTTGAAAAACGGATTCAGACTCAAAAAGTCTAAAGCCTTTGTCATTATCAGAATGAGCACAGCAGTCTTTTCTCAAAATATTTTGTTCTATATATTTATTTGTTTTGTTTTGTACTGAATAACTAAGCAACTGAAACATCCTCACACGTGTTAACAGAAAGAGAAAATAGTATTTGAAGCACAGTGTTCATTGTAGTGACAGAAACACAGGGAGGCAGAAAATAAAGCAGACTGAAGGTTGTATTTAGGTATTTAGATAATTTAAGAACCTGTTACAGACCAGATGATTTATTTTTTTAATTGTGCTTTGATACATAAAACCTTAGAACCGTATTATCTGTTTGACTTTATTAAGAGATAAAATAAAACACAAGGTTATTTCTCTAGAAAAGATGAATCAGAGAACATAAAGGCCACGTCTGCACACTAAAAGATAATGTGCTCATTTCAGTGTGGAGCCTCAAGGAGTCCAGTGGATGAGACCAGGTCTAAGGAAATGTAAGTATTTTTGATTTATGAGCTGCATTCACACAATCTTGTACTGTTCTACATTTTTTCTCACGGTTCCCTTTAGATTTCTTTGATCTGACGCTGGATCCAAACACAGCACACAGAAACCTCAAACTGTCTGATGACAACAAGGAGGTGACACATGTGGAAGAAGATCAGCTGTATCCTCATCATGATCTTAGGTTTGATCACTGGCCTCAGCTGCTGTGTACCAACAGTCTGAGTGGTCGCTGTTACTGGGAGGTCGAGTGGAGAGAAGAGGTTCATGTTGCTGTAGTTTATGGAGGAATCAGACGGAAAGGAGATGGTGATGAAAGCAGGTTTGGAAGGACTCATCAATCCTGGAGCCTCTACTGCAGTGATGACAGGGGTTACTATGTAGATCACAATTACATAGCAAGAGCCATCCCTCTTCTCCCCTCAGCTCTCTCTCACAAAGTAGCAGTGTATGTGGACTGTTCTGAAGGAACTGTGTCCTTCTACAGTGTCTCCTCTGATAAACTGATCCACCTGCACACCTTCAACACCACCTTCACTGAACCTGTATATGCTGGGTTTAGGGTGAAGTCTGACTCTAGTATCCACCTCTGTGCTGACTCACAATAATAAACTTACTGTGCAGAGAAATATTCTCACATTGGTGTTTCAAACTTTTTCTTACTTAGTATATCAGGTAACTGTCTCGTACATATATTAGTTTGGTTTTCATTCCAGAATTATTGGATTAGACTGATTCTCCTGAAAAAATTTTTTTTTTTATCATCTCATTGTCTTTGGTGCCTTTTTTAACAGCAGATATCAGTTTCTATTAATGCATCATGGTTTACATACCCACAGGACTCTTGGTCCTGAGGAAAGAGGAACTTTATTTTAAAATCAGTTGCATTACTATCATCTATCACTAAATTTGTTGCATCCATCCATCTTCTTCCACTTTATCCGGGGCCGGGTCGCGGGAGCAGCGGCCCAAGCAGAGCAGCCCAGACCTCCCTCTCCCTAGCTTATCCGGGGAACACCAAGGCGTTCTCAGGCCAACCGAGGGATATAATCGCTCCAGCATGTACTGGGTCAGCCCCCGGGCTCCCCCCACCCTTCGGAGGAAACCCATTTCTGTCGCTTGTATCTGCAATCTCGTTCTTTTGGTCACTACCCACAGCTCGTGACCATAGGTGAGGGTAGGGTTGTAGATCGACCGGTAAATTGAGAGCTTCGCTTTGACACTCAGCTCTCTCTTCACCATGACAGCGTCAGCATCACTGCAGCCGCTGCACCAATCCGTCTGTCGATCTCTCGCTCCCTTCTCCCATCACTCGTGAACAAGAACCCGAGATAGTTAAACTCCTCCATTTGGGGCAGGGTCTCATCGCTGACCCGGAGTGGGCACTCCACTAAATTTGTTGCATTATACCTGTAAGATTTATATTATTGATTGTAATGTATGCTTAGAAATATTTACTCATATATAATTAGAGTTTTATAATCAATTGCATAATGATAGAGGTTTGATCCTTAGTAGTCTGTAAAGACTCTGTGTGCCTTCCAGAGTGTTCTGGCATGCACACACAACTTGGGGTCATGAGAGAGGTCGTACCTTCTCTTACTGATTTACGGTATAGGAGGACACCTACTCTGTATCTGGTTAAGTATAAGAGCCCTTTGTTCAGGTGGACCGCTGGACTCCTGGCACCAGCTTTGGGGAGTCTTCACAGACTCATATCTTGAGAGCTGTTGTAGTAGAGTTGTCTCGTTCCAGCGAGGGGTGTGTGCTAGACACACCCATCAATACCCATTTTAATCATGTTTAAACTGATGGATGAAATCTTTGGAACAGAACATTTTAACATTTTAGACGTTGTTGGTTAGACTTTGTGATGATGAGCGCTGCAGGCTTCTATATATTTTGTGTTTAGGCTTCTTTACTTTCTTACATTGCATAACTGTATGCTTGTCTCTCTCTTGTTATGCAAATTAAGTAACATTTTACCACAACAAGTTCCTGGAGAAATGCAATATCACCACTATGTGACCAGTTTTCATAACAACTGATCTGGATGGTTCTGGATCCATTTATTAGTCTGTGTTGATCCAACTGTAGCTTCTAGTACTGCTGATACAAGAAGAGCAGCTTATGGCTAACTGGACGATATGGAGAGGTCTCTCTTCAGTTCATAATCAATAAAAACAGTCTGACTTACAGATGACCTCCAGTCTGTGTTTCTTGACTGAACAGAAACAGTTTTACAAACTCAGATTTGGTTTTTATTCCTTGTTAAAACAGACTCATGAATTGTAACAGAAACGGGAAGGTGAAGACAAAAGAATCAAGATGAAAACAGTTGGATTTTTTCTCGTTGACTTCTTGCAGATTCTGTCAATGTGTGTTTACTTCTCCCGTGTATATATGTGTGTAATACATTTTAAACATTTATCAGTTTAAATGCTCTCTAACTGCTCTTTCTAAATAAATTAAAAAAGGACTGTCTGTCCTTACTGTGTTGCACTGTTTATATAAAATACTAAAATGAATCTGTTTATGTGTGGATAAACTGTAAACTGCGTTCAGAGAGTTAAAAACAAAACAGAGAAATAAACAGACAGCAAGATGTTTTTTAAAGTGTCTTTGTGAACATTTATACTACAGGTGTATTTATAGCATACAGCTGTGTTATGCTGCAGGTATGAAACATATTAGAAATTGTCTGTACAGTATACGAGGAGAAAAAGTGAGAAGGAGAAAGACTCCAACTTTCATTCTGTCAGTTTCTCCTCTCATCACATAAATACCTGAGCAGTGACAGAGACCCCGACTGCAGCGTGTTTCTTATCGTGATGCAAAATACTGAGAAGCATCCAAACTTTTGTAGGCCTTCAGATATCGTCCAGTATAATTTGAGGCCTTGATGACAACATAATGATATAAATCATGTGGTGTAGGAAACACGTTGGAAGGGAGTGAGTAAACATCCATATTCAGCCCTCCATTGCAAAATTCCTTCATAACAAGCAATATATACTGTACACGTGTTTGTTTGCTCATAGATACCAGAGTTGACCTCATCTACAAAAGTTTACGAGGTTTTTACTCACTCGATGTGTCAGAATTGCTATTAGGAATTGACCAATCCAATTTCGGTATCGGTCCGATCCTGACCTAAATTACTGGATCGGATATCGGGGGGAAATTAAAAATGTAATCTGATCCATTAAATATCACAAAAGCACCTCACGAAACTTGCGACATGGCGTAACCTTAGCAGTCGGAGCAGTATGTGTGACGTCATACAGTGACTGTTGTGTGCGACACCTGCCAGCGGTCTGGAGTTAATTTACACTGAAAACATTTGGAGCCTCGCTAGGTGCTGCCAAACCAGATGTTGTGCCATGGTAGGCATCTCCGACAAAACCCGCTCCGCCCGTGAACTCCCACCAGTGTTCCAGATTAACTGGTGACGGTCAAACAGATGTGTGGTGCTTAAAAGGAGCCGCTACTGACAAACCAGCAAATTAACACTTAACAAATATTTCATCTGTGACACCTCAAACACAGTCCGTCAGTCTTATTGCTCTTGAACAACAAAATATTTTAAAATGTCGCAGGTTTATCTGATGATATTCTCATACACGAGGCAACCACAAAAACAGGAAACAAATAAACGTCTCCACATCGATGCTGTTCACAGGACAACAAGAGTAAACGATCTGAAGAATTTTGTCTTTGTTATCGTTCCCCTCGTACGTTTTATTACTCTGATTTCAGTGTTTTCGCCAGACCCCAATCTGACAGCCAGCACCTCCTCCCAGCCCCCCAGCCCTGACGGTTAACAGAACGGGGGCGAGTGAAGACCCCAAACCTCCCTCCACCCGCTCATATGTAGTGTTGTTGCGTGCTGTTCTAAAGTGCATTTAAAACTCAGGAGGGCATGGTGCTACCTCCCAGAGAGCAGCACAGCTACTCCCGAAAACACTCAGTGTCTATATGCATTTAAAATTGAGGGTAGGGCACCAGCGCCAGAGGTGGGTTCGAATACACAGACCATCCTCTGGATGCTGTAGAACGTGCCCACCCTGAAGGCCCTAGATGTATGTGTTATGAGAGTATGAGTAATGTGGAAGTCTAGGTTACAGAATAAAATTGAGGCACAGGCAGCCAGAAGGGGACAGAGGGGGACTGCCTCCCCTGCACCCTGGTGACACACCTGCACCCCAAACCCTGCATGTGTGTGGGTGTGGTGGAGCGGGAAGAGGGAGGCAGCTGAAGATGGGGAGGCAGCTCCCCCGCTTACCCCAGTAAGCACACTCACACTCTGTAACCCACCAGGGTAAAGAGGCTCAGGCCCATCCGGACCGGGGCCCACAGCAGCAGCACCACCCGGCCCCACAGAGTCCGGGGCAGCCCACTCGACCCCACCGCAGAGAAAACTGCACCCACCCCATTATACAATCATCTCCCAGAACACACAAGACAATAGACACCCAGGTTGAGTCATTCTCTACCTCTCCTATATCTCTCCCCCACCTGCAGAGTGAGCTCCTGTAGAAATGAGACCTCCTGCAAAGCTGTAACAGCCTCCCCACCAGTTAGAGAGCCCTCCAGTTGGGCCGATGCACCAGAGGTCCCCCGTACTGGGGCTGTATATTTTAGACAATGATTTGTGGGGGTTTTTAGTTTAAAAATTGTACCACACTTGGTGGTGTTTATAATTCAGCTTCACTGGGATTAAATTTATTTTTTACTATGGATTTAATTTGTTGATATTCCAAAAATCTTTTCTTGTTGATCCCATATTGTGTAACTAGTCTGTCAGATGGAATAAATCCTGTTCCTTCTAATATATGTTCCAAGTATTTGATTCCTTTACCACTCCAATCTGGAAAGTTTATCATGTTATTGTTTTGTAATATGTCAGGGTTGTTCCAGATAGGTGTACGTTTGCATGGGATTAATGAAGACTGTTATTTTTAGAAACTCCCACCATGCTGTCAGAGAAGAGCTGATGTTGATGCTTTTAAAGCATTCATGTTGTTTGATGTTTGAGCTGATAAATGGTAGGTCTGAAATTTCTAGATTATTACATAGTGCCTGTTCTACATCTAGAGATGAACTGAAGCCTGTTGACTAAAAAGTAGTGATTAAAGTTAGGCAGCTCTAGTCCTCCTTTGTCCTTTGTAATGTTTTTAAGCTGATACGCGGGGTTTATCTTTCCAAAGGAATTTAGAAATATACGAGTCGAGAGATCTGAACGAATCTTGTGATGGCTTACTTGGGATCATTGAAAATAAATAGTATATTTTTGGCAAGACCATCATTTTTATAGCGGCATTACTTCCCATGAGTGATATGGGTAGCGATTTCCATCTAGCTAGATCGCTTTCTACTGTCTTTAAAAGTGGGATGTGATTTAATTTAATTCATTTAAATCTAATTTAACAAATTTTCCTTCTTCTAGCTGTACTGACTGACCTTTGACCTCATGTGTTGAGGACTCTTCACCTCTGTCTCCTCTCACAGGGAGAAGATGATCTGCAGGATCCTGCTGCTCATCATCATCACCTCATGTGTCTCTGGTTAGTTTACAGCTTCACTTTATGAACTCCAAATAAAGCTCAACAACAGATTTGTTCCAGTCCTCAGTGTGTCTGCTCCTCTCTTTCCCTCTCTGTCTCCTCAACAGGATCATTTGTAGTCAATGTGACACAGACCTGCTATCAGGCAGAGGAGAACCACAACATCATTAATATTAGTGATATATGGTTTGTAATATGTTAGATATGGGGATATGTATTTTAAGGTAACAATTACACAGTTTGGTTGTATTTAGCCTGGCCCTTTCTCCCCTACACTGCTGAGTCTAGTGGTCTCTCCCAAAGTCAGCTACCTTAGTGGATATGGTACTTCCAAAACAAATAAAACAGACATGACAGGAAAACATGTTTGGTTTTTGAAAGTATGGTATGGTCTCTCCATTTCACAGTATTCTGTGTACATGTATGCACACATACCTGTATGATATTTCTGATTACTGAAGAAAGAAAAGAAAAAGTCTGATCCTCAAAACAAGCTGGCTAGGACCCATCAAACATTTGTAATCAGGGGTCTGTAACTCGATGATCCGGGCATACCCAGCAGGCAAATGCCCGATACATCAGATTACCAGACCAGCCTTGCTCGTGTGAAAGTTACATTCCCATGGCAACGTTACACCATGAGTTTTATGGGTAACTTTGAGGTCACATGAACAATGAAAGGTTGCTAGGAGGAATAGCTCCAAGAGAAGAGGGTGTGTTTTAGGTTCTTGAAGTGCATCGGTCCTTATTATGAGGCTTGCTTTCACGATTGTGTGTCACAGTTTAACACTGAACATGTTATTTACTGATAGTTGTTTATGATTGGAAGTGTGTGAATGTATGTTATATTTTACTTCATCAGACTCGCTCACTGCAGATGCAGCAGCTTTCTGCTTTAGGAAACTGAAGCTTGTGTGCAGCTGGACTGCAGGATTGATTCTGTGCAACATCTGAAAGGTTTTCACTTTTCTCCTGTGTGCTCTGCGCCATCTAGTGACATCTTTCAGTATTGCACTGGCATGATAGCAGGTACACTACAACACAAGAAACACAACAAAATAAAATAAAACACTGCATAAGTGAATAAATCTTTATTTATATGCAGAAAATCTGAGTTTGTCCTGATCTGAGTTTCATGTGATGCCTGATCTCCTTTTCTGTGCCTCTTTGCTGACATTAAAGTCCACGTTTTAAGAGCTGCCTTTACATGTGTGTGTTCCCTCTTTTTGTTCTGCCCGGTGATGTAGGGTCCTGATTACTCCAGGTTTGTGTTCCAGAGGGTGGTGGGAGTCAAAGAGGAGGTACTGGTCCGTGTGTGGGGGCTTCTGGTAAACTTCAGTGTTGAGGTTTCCATTCTCTTCAGTGTGCACAGCACAGTCCAGCAATGGCAAACAGTTATCCTTTGTGTCTTCCCTGAACTTTATGTTTTTATCCATAGATTTGATGTCAGTGTGCTTTGGGCACGCTTTAAAAATGTTCATTAATTTATTTTATTAAAAGGAACAGTGAGTATTAATGAATACATCAATGTAAAGATTAATGTGAGAAAATCACATGGATGAAGCGCTCTCAAAAACTATAAAATACAAACAGCTGTAAACTCTTGGT